GAGAGAAGAAGAAGAATGGGGGAGAGAGAAATATAGAGAAAATTACTGAATTTACTTTTGCACCTAAAGATGCTGCTCTTCCTCCAACAGCCTCATGGCCTTAGTTGTGAACGCCAAAAACGGAGACATTGGTTGCTGATCCTTTTTTTTCTTGCTCTTTCTCCACTAATCATTGAGCCATATGATTTGAGGGAAACCTTTCTTCTTCATGTCTCTCTTTTCTAGCTCTTTCTCTCTGTTCTGTTTTCAAGAAAATGTAGGAAAATTTTGGGGGAAAACTAAACCAAGAATCATCAACTCTAAACCATCAATCTGGGTTCAGTTTCAGAGAAAATGTTGGAAAATTACCCTTTCTGAAGCTCCTTCATTTTCCCAACATTTTCTCAGCAAAGAAAAATAACCCCAATTTCTAACAAAGATAAATAATAGTTCAAAGTACGATTCATAACTTTATAGTTGTGGTTCAAATTTGAACTTGAATTGGCCCTTTAAAATTTATAAATAAAACGATATTCATAAGTGTTCTCTTTTAAAATAAAAAATTCATAATAAATTGTATCCATCTATATAAAAATTTGACAACAATTTTTATTTGAATATTACTCATGTGCATGTATATATATGGAGCATTGGAATTAAAAGGAAAAAAAAAGAAATAAACTATGATTTTGAGAGAAAAATGCAATAAAAAATTGAAACAGCAAAGTGAGAATTCAAATTGATCCAACAAAATGACACAGTATTCAATCACAGCAAGTGCTACTATGAGGAACTCACAGCAGCATCCCCAAACCCATTTCGTTATATCGTAGCATATGCTATTGGTAGATATAGATATCAAGAGTGGGTTATCCAAATAGGTTTTGAATTCAAATTCAAAACTTACATGGATAAGGTTCAAAAGGGTCAAAGGTCATGCCACATGGGTGCCGAATTTCTAACAAAGATAAATAATACTTCACAGTACGATTCATAATTTTATTGTTGTGGTTATAATTTGAACCTGAATTGGACCATTAAAATATATAAATAAAACGATATTCGTAAGTGCTCTCTCTACTGAAGCATGCTTTACCTGGAGCCTGGCCTCCATAGATGTCTTCACCTCCATAGATGTCTTCGGTTTCAATGGATCTTTTTTTTCCGGTAGAAATTCAATGAGACAAAGATTAGAAAGAGAGAAGAAAAAGAAGGGGGAGAGAGAAATAAAGAGAAAATTACTAAATTTACTTTGTCAACTGAAGATCCTGCTCTTCCTCTAACAGCTTCTTGGCTTCAGTTGCAAACACCAAAAACGGAGACATTGGTTGCTGATCCTTTTCTTTCTTGCTCTTTCTCCACTGATCTTTGAGCCATATGATTTGGGGGAAGCCTTTCTTTGTCTTGCCTTTCTTTTCTAGCACTTTCTCTCTATTCTGTTTTCAAGAAAATGTAGGAAAATTTAAGGGGAAAACTAAACCAAGAATCATCAACTCTAAACCATCAATCTGGGTTCAGTTTCAGAGAAAATGTTGGAAAATTACCCTTTCTGAAGCTCCTTCATTTTCCCAACATTTTCTCAGCAAAGAAAAATAACCCCAATTTCTAACAAAGATAAATAATAGTTCAAAGTACGATTCATAACTTTATAGTTGTGGTTCAAATTTGAACTTGAATTGGCCCTTTAAAATTTATAAATAAAACGATATTCATAAGTGTTCTCTTTTAAAATAAAAAATTCATAATAAATTGTATCCATCTATATAAAAATTTGACAACAATTTTTATTTGAATATTACTCATGTGCATGTATATATATGGAGCATGGGAATTAAAAGGAAAAAAAAAGAAATAAACTATGATTTAGAGAGAAAAAAGCCATAAAAAATTGAAACAGCAAAGTGAGAATTAAAATTGATCCAACAAAACGACGCAGTATTGAATCACAGCAATTGCTATTGTGAGGACACAGCATCCCCGAACCCATTTCGTTATCATGTAACATATGCTATCGATAGATATAGATATCAAGAGTGGGTTATCCAAATAGGTTTTGAATTCAAATTCAAAACTTACATTGATAAGTTTCAAAAAGGTCCAAGGTCATGCCACAAGGGTGCCAAATTTCTAACAAAGATAAATTATACTTCACAGTACGATTCATAATTTTATAGTTGTGGTTCTAATTTGAACCTGAATTGGCCCATCAAAATTTATCAATAAAACGATATTCATAAGTGTTCTCTTTTAAAATAAAAAATTCATAATAAATTAAATCCATCTATATAAAAATTTGATAACAATTTTTATTTGAATATTACTCATGTGCATGTATATATGTGGAGCATGGGAATTAAAAGGAGAAAAAGAAATAAATTATGATTTTGAGAAAAAAAAAGCAATTAAAGATTGAAACAGCAAAGGGAGAATTCAAATTGATCCATCAAAATGACACAGTATTGAATCACAGCAGGTGCTACTGTGAGGAACTCATTGCAGCATCCCCGAACCCATTTCGTTATAATGTAGCATATGCTATCGATAGATATAGATATCAGGAGTGGGTTATCCAAATAGGTTTTGAATTCAAATTCAATACTTACATGGATAAGTTTCAAAAGGGTCAGAGGTCATGCCACATGGGTCCGCAATTTCTAACAAGGATAAATAATACTTCACAGTACGATTCATAATTTTATAGTTGTGGTTCCAATTTGAACCTGAATTGGACCATTAAAATATATAAATAAAACGATATTCATAAGTGCTCTCCCAACTGCAGCATGCTTTACCCTGAGCCTGGCCTCCATAGATGTCTTCGGTTTCAACGGATCCTTTGTTTTCCTGTAGAAATTCAATGATACAAATATCAGAGAGAGAGAAGAAGAAGAAGGGTGGAGAGAGAAATATAGAGAAAATTACTGAATTTACTTTTTCTACTGAAGATGCTGCTCTTTCTCCAACAGCCTCATGGCTTCAGTTGTGAACGCCAGAAACGGAGACAATGGCTACTGATCCTTTTCTTTCTTGCTCTTTCTCCACTGATCTTTGAGCCAGATGATTTGGGGGAAGCCTTTCTTCTTCTTGTCTTTCTTTTCTACCACTTTCTCTCTGTTCTGTTTTCAAGAAAATGTAGGAAAATTTAGGAGGGAAACTAAACCAAGAATCATCAACTCAAAACCATCAATCTGGGTTCAGTTTCTGAGAAAATATAGGAAAATTACCCTTTGTAAAGCTCTTTCATTTTCTAAGGTTCAAAAGGGTCAAAGGTCATGCCACATGGGTGTCCAATTTCTAACAAAGATAAATAATACTTCACAGTACGATTCATAATTTTATAGTTGTGGTTCTAATTTGAACATGAATTGGACCATTAAAATTTATAAATAAAACGATATTCATAAGTGTTCTCTTTTAAAATAAAAAACTCATAATAAATTATATCAATCTATATAAAAATTTTATAATAATTTTTATTTGAATATTACTCATGTGCATGAATATATATGGAGCATGGGAATTAAAAGGAGAAAAAGAAATAAACTATGATTTTGAGAGAAAAAGGCAATAAAAAATTGAAACAGCAAAGTGAGAATTCAAAATTGATCCAAGAAAACGACACAGTATTGAATCACAGCAGGTGCTACTGTGAGGAACTCACAGCAGCATCCCCGAACCCATTTCGTTCTCATGTAACATATGCTATCGATAGATATAGATATCAAGAGTGGGCTATCCAAATAGGTTTTGAATTCAAATTCAAAACTCACATGGATAAGGTTCAAAAGGGTCAAAGGTCATGCCACATGGGTGCCCAATTTCTAACAAAGATAAATAATACTTCACAGTACGATTCATAATTTTATAGTTGTGGTTCCAATTTGAACCTGAATTGGACCATTAAAAGAGTGGGTTATCCAAATAGGTTTTGAATTCAAATTCAAAACTCACATGGATAAGGTTCAAAAGGGTCAAAGGTCATGCCACATGGTTGCCCAATTTCTAACAAAGATAAATAATACTTCACAGTACGATTCATAACTTCATAGTTGTGGTTCTAATTTGAACTTGAATTGGACCATTAAAATATATAAATAAAACGATATTCGTCAGTGCTCTCTCTACTGCAGCATGCTTTACCTTGAGCCTGGCCTCCATAGATGTCTTCTCCACCCTAGATGTCTTCGGTTTCAATGGATCCTTTATTTTCCTGTAGAAATTAAGTGAGACAAAGATTAGAGAGAGAGACAAAGAAGAAGGGGGGAGAGTGAAATAATGAGAAAATTACTGAATTTACTTTATCAACTGAAGATGGCTCTTCCTCCAACAGCCTCATGGCTTCAGTTGTGAACGCCAAAAACGGAGACATTGGTCGTTGATCCTTTTATTTCTTGCTCTTTCTCCACTGATCTTTAAGCCATATGATTTGGGGGAAACCTTTCTTCTTGTTGTCTTTCTTTTCTAGCACTTTTTCTCTGTTCTGTTTTCAAGAAAATGTAGGAAAATTTTGGGGGAAAACTAAACCAAGAATCATCAACTCCAAACCATCAATTTGGGTTCAGTTTCTGAGAAAATGTAGGAAAATGACCCTTTCTAAAGCTCCTTCATTTTCCCTAAATTTTCTTAGCAAAAATAAATATGCCTAATTTCTAACAAAGATAAATAATACTTCATAGTACGATTCATAATTTGATAGTTATGGTTCAAATTTGAACCTGAATTGGACCATTAAAATTTATAAATAAAACGATATTAATAAGTGTTCTCTTTTAAAATAAAAAATTCATAATAAATTATATCAATCTATATAAAAATTTTATAATAATTTTTATTTGAATATTACTCATGTGCATGAATATATATGGAGCATGGGAATTAAAAGGAGAAAAATAAATAAACAATGATTTTGAGAGAAAAAAGCAATAAAAAATTGAAACAGCAAACTGAGAATTCAAAATTGATCCAACAAAACGACACAGTATTGAAACACAGCAGGTGCTACTGTGAGGAACTCACAGCAGCATCCCCGAACCCATTTCGTTCTCGTGTAACATATGCTATCTATAGATATAGATATCAAGAGTGGGTTATCCAAATAGGTTTTGAATTCAAATTCAAAACTTACATGGATAAGGTTCAAAAGGGTCAAAGGTCATGCCACATGGGTGCCCAATTTCTAACAAAGATAAATAATACTTCACGGTACGATTCATAACTTCATAGTTGTGGTTCTAATTTGAACTTGAATTAGACCGTTACAATATATAAATAAAGCGATACTCATAAGTGTTCTCTTTTAAAATAAAAAAAATAATAATAAATTATATCAATCTACATAAAAATTTTATAATAATTTTTTTTTGAATATTACTCATGTGCGTGTATATATATGGAGCGTGGGAAAAAAAGGCGAAAAAGAAATAAACTATGATTTTGAGAGAAAAAATCAATTAAAAAAAGAAACAGCAAACTGAGAATTCGAATTGATCCAACAAAACGACACAGAATTGAATCACAGTAGGTGCTACTGTGAGGAATTCATAGCAGCATCGCCGAACCCATTTCGTTATCATGTAACATATGCTATCGATAGTTATAGATATCAACAGTGGGTTATCCAAATAGGTTTTGAATTCAAATTCAAAACTTACATGGATAAGGTTCACAAGGGTCAAAGGTCATGCCACATGGGTGCCTAATTTATAACAAAGAAAAATAATAATTCACAGTACGATTCATAATTTTATAGTTGTGGTTCTAATTTGAACCTGAATTGGACCATTAAAATATATAAATAAAACGATATTCATAAGTGTTCTTTTTTAAAATAAAAAATTCATAACAAATTATATCAATCTATATAAAAATTTCATAATAATTTTTATTTGAATATTACTCATGTGCGTGTATATAAATGGAGCATGGGAATTAAAAGGAGGAAAAGAAATAAACTATGATTTTGAGAGAAAAAAGCAATTAAAAATTGAAACAGCAAAGTGAGAATTCAAATTGAACCAACAAAACGACACAGTATTGAAACACAGCTAGTGCTACTGTGAGGAGCTCACAGCAGCACCCCCGAACCCATTTCGTTATCATGTAACATATGCTATCGATAGATATAGATATCAAGAGTGGGTTATCCAAATAGGTTTTGAATTCAAATTAAAAACTTACATGGATAAGGTTCATAAGGGTCAAAGGTCATGCCACATGAGTGCTCAATTTCTAACATAGATAAATAATACTTGACAGTACAATTCATAATTTAATAGTTGTGGTTCTAATTTGAACCTGAATTGGACCATTAAAATATATAAAGAAAACGATATTCATAAGTGCTCTCTCTACGGCAGCATGTTTTGCCCTGAGCCTGGCCTTCACAGATGTCTTCTTCTCCATGATGTCTATGATTTCGATGGATCCTTTTTTTCCACTAGAAATTAAACGTGACAATGATTTGAGAGAGAGAAGAAGAAGAATGCGGAGAGAGAAATATAGAGAAAATTACTGAATTTACTTTTGCACCTAAAGATGCTGCTCTTCCTCCAACAGCCTCATGGCCTTAGTTGTGAACGCCAAAAACGGAGACATTGGTAGCTGATCCTTTTTTTTCTTGCTCTTTCTCCACTAATCATTGAGCCATATGATTTGAGGGAAACCTTTCTTCTTCATGTCTCTCTTTTCTAGCTCTTTCTCTCTGTTCTGTTTTCAAGAAAATGTAGGAAAATTTAGGAGGAAAACTAAACCAAGAATCATTAAATCTAAACCATCAATCTGCGTTCAGCTTTTGAGAAAATGTAGGAAAATTACCCTTTCTAAAGCTCCTTCATTTTCCCTACCTTTCCCAACAAATATAAATAAGCCCAATTTGTAACAAAGATAAATAATACTTCACAATACGATTCATAATTTTATAGTTGTGGTTCTAATTTGAACCTGAATTGGACCATTAAAATATATAAATAAAATGATATTCATAAGTGTTCCTTTTAAAATAAAAAATTCACAATAAATTATATCAATCTATTTAAAATAAAAATTTTATAATAATTTTTATTTGAATATGGCTCATATGCGTGTATATATATGGTGCATGGGAATTGAAAGGACAAAAAGAAATAAACTATGATTTTGAGAGAAAAATGTAATAAAAAATTGAAACAGCAAAGTGATAATTCAAATTGATCCAACAAAATGACACAGTATTCAATCACAGCAGGTGCTACTGTGAGGAACTCACAGCAGCATCCCCAAACCCATTTCGTTATAATGTAGCATATGCTATTGGTAGATATAGATATCAAGAGTGGGTTATCCAAATAGGTTTTGAATTCAAATTCAAAACTTACATGGATAAGGTTCAAAAGGGTCAAAGGTCGTGCCACATGGGTGCCCAATTTCTAACAAAGATAAATAATACTTCACAATACGATTCATAATTTTATAGTTGTGGTTATAATTTGAACCTGAATTGGACCATTAAAATATATAAATAAAACGATATTCATAAGTGCTCGCTCTACTGCATCATGCTTTGCCCTGGGCCTGGCTTCCATAGATGTCTTCTCCTCCATAGATGTCTTCAGTTTCAATGGATCTTTTTTTTTTCCTGTAGAAATTCAGTGAGACAGAGATTAGAGAGAGAGAAGAAGAAGAAGGGGGGAGAGAGAAATATAGAGAAAATTACTGAATTTACTTTGCAACTGAAGATGCTACTCGTCCACCAACAGCCTCATGGCTTCAGTTATGAACACCAAAAACGGAGACATTGGTTGCTGATCCTTTTCTTCCTTGCTCTTTCTCCACTGATCTTTGAGCCATATGATTTGAGGGAAACCTTTCTTCTTCTTGTCTTTCATTTCTAGCTCTTTCTCTCTGTTCTGTTTTCAAGAAAATGTAGGAAAATTTAGGGGGAAAACTAAACCAAGAAACATCAACTCTAAATCATCAATCTGGGTTCAGTTTCTGAGAAAAATGTAGGAAAATTACCCGTTCTAAAGCACTTTCATTTTCCCTATATTTTCTTCCCTACATTTTCTCAGCAAAGATAAATAAGCCCAATTTCTAACAAAACTAAATAATACTTCACGGTACGAATCATAATTTAATAGTTGTGGTTCTACTTTGAACCTGAATTCAACCATTAAAATATATAAATAAAATGATATTCATAAGTGTTCTTTTTAAAAGAAAAAATTCATAATAAATTATATCAATCTACATTAAAATTTTATAATAATTTTTAATGGAATATTACTCATGTGCATGTATATATATGGAGCATGGGAATTGAAAGGAGAAAAAGAAATAAACTATGATTTTGAGACAAAAAAGCAATTTAAAATTGAAACAGCAAAGTGAGAATTCAAATTGATCCAACAAAACGACACAGTATTGAATCACAACAGGTGCTACTGTGAGGAACTCACAGCAGCATCCCCGAACCCATTTCGTTATCATGTAACATATGCTATCGATAGATATAGATATCAAGAGTGGGTTATCCAAATAGGTTTTGAATTCAAATTCAAAACTTACATGGATAAGGTTCAAAAGGGTCAAAGGTCTTGCCACATGGGTGTCCAATTTCTAACAAAGGTAAATAATACTTCACAGCTCAATTCATAATTTTATAGTTGTGGTTCTAATTTGAACCTGAATTGGACCATTAAAATATATAAATAAAACGATATTCATAAGTGTTCTCTTTTAAAATAAAAAATTCATATTAAATTATATCAATGTATATAAAAATTTTATAATGATTTTAATTTGAATATTACTCCTATTCGTGTATATATATGGAACAAGGGAATTAAAAGGAGAAAAAGAAATAAACTATGATTTTGAGAGAAAAAAGCAATTAAAAATTGAAACAGCAAACTGAGATTTCAAATTGATCCAACAAAACGGCACAGTATCGAATCACAACAGGCGCTACTGTGGGGAACTCACAGCAACATCCCTGAACTTATTTCGTTATCATGTAACATATGCTATCGATAGATATAGATATCAAGAGTGGGTTATCCATATAGATTTTGAATTCAAATTCAAAACTTACATGGATAAGGTTCAAAAGGGTCAAAGGTCATGCCACATGGGTGCCCAATTTCTAACAAAGATAAATAATACTTCACAGCTCGATTCATAATTTTATAGTTGTGGTTCTAATTTGAACCTGAATTGGACCATTAAAATATATAAACAAAACGATATTCATAAGTGTTCTCTTTTAAAATAAAAAATTCATAATAAATTATATCAGTCTATATAAAAATTTTTATTTGAATATTACTTATGTGCGTGTATATATATGGAGTGTGGGAATTAAAAGGAGAAAAAGAAATAAACTATGATTTTGAGAGAAAAAAGCAATTAAAAATTGAGGCAGCAAAGTGAGAATTCAAATTGATCCAGCAAAACGACACAGTATTGAAACACAGCAGGCGCTACTGTGAGGAACACACAGCAGCATCCCCAAACCTATTTCGTTATCATGTGACATATGCTATCGGTAGATATAGATATCAAGAGTGGGTTATCCAAATAGGTTTTGAATTCAAATTCAAAACTTAAATGGATAAGGTTCATAAGGGTCAAAGGTCATGCCACATGAGTGCCCAATTTCTAACAAAGATAAATAATACTTCACAGTACGATTCATAATTTTATAATTGTGGTTCTAATTTGAACCTGAATTGGACCATTAAAATATATAAATAAAATGATATTCATAAGTGCTCTCTCTACTGCAGCATGCTTTGCCTTGAGCCTGGCCTCCATAGATGTCTTCGGTTTCGATGGATCCTTTTTTTTCTGGTAGAAATTAAATGAGGCAAAGATTAGAGAGAGAGAAGAAGAAGAAGAAAGGGTGAGAGAGAAATATGGAGAAAATTACTGAATTTACTTTTGCAATTGAAGATGCTTCTCTTTCTCCAACAGCCTCATGGCCTCAGTTGTGAACGCCAAAAACGGAGACATTGGTTGTTGATCCTTTTCTTTCATGCTCTTTCTCCACTGATCTTTGAGCCATATGATTTGAGGGAAAGCTTTCTTCTTCGTGTCTTTCTTTTCTAGCTCTTTCTCTCTGTTCTGTTTTCAAGAAAATGTAGTAAAATTTAGGAGGAAAGCTAAACCAAGAATCATCAACTCTAAACCATCAATCTGGGTTCCGCTTCTAAAAAAATGTTGGAAAATTACCCTTTCTAAAGCTCCTTCATTTTCCCTATATTTTCTCAGCAAAGATAAATAAGCCCAATTTCTAACAAAGATAAATAATACTTCACAGTACGATTCATAATTTTATAATTGTGGTTCTAATTTGAACCTGAATTGGACCATTAAAATATATAAATAAAACGATATTCATAAGTGTTCCTTTTAAAATAAAAAATTCATAATAAATTATATCAATCTATATAAAAATTTTATAATAATTTTTATTTGAATATTACTCCTGTGCGTGTATATATATGGAGCATGGGAATTAAAAGGTGAAAAAGAAATAAACTATGATTTTGAGAGAAAAAAGCAATTAAAAATTGAAAGAGCGAACTGAGAATTCAAATTGATCCAACAAAACGACACAGTATTGAATCACAGCAGGTGCTACTGTAGGAAACTCACGGCAGCATCCCTGAACCCATTTCGTTATCATGTAACATATGCTATCGATAGATATAGATATCAAGAGTGTGTTATCCAAATAGGTTTTGAATTCAAATTAAAAACTTACATAGATAAGGTTCAAAAGGGTCAAAGGTCATGCCACATGGGTGCCTAATTTCTAACGAAGATAAATAATACTTCACAGTTCGATTCATAATTTTATTGTTGTGGTTCAAATTTGAACCTGAATTGGACCATTAAAATATATAAACAAAACGATATTCATAAGTGTTCTCTTTTAAAATAAAAAATTCATAATAAATTATATCAATATATATAAAAATTTTATAATAACTTTTATTTGAATATTACTTATGTGCGTGTATATATATGTAGTTTTGGAATTATATATATGGAGCATGGGAATTAAAAGGAGAAAAAGAAATAAACTATGATTTTGAGAGAAAAAAGCAATTAAAAATTGAAACAGCAAAGTGAGAATTAAAATTGATCCAAGAAAACGACACAGTATTGAAACACAGCAAGTGCTACTGTGAGGAATACACATCAGCATCCTGTAGACACCCCATTTTTGACCGTCCTCAAGACTTGGATGTCATCGTTTGAACACTCGATGATCATCCCTGTTCGTGTTCGTCTTGAGTTCTCGGAAGTTTCGGCTACGTGCCTTGCCTTAAGACATCTCGACTTGTTTGTTTTGTGTTTGGTTTTACATCAAACACTTATTGTTTTGCTTCTGAGGGTGGGAAATAGCTTGTAGGCCATCCCCACACCTCACCGGCCATGGCTGGAGGCCACCGGCCTTGTTTCCTTGCCACCGGCCACTGGTGATGGCCGGTCGGCACTGTTTATGGTCGGTCGGCACATTTTGTGGTCGGTCGGCCAACTTTGTTGGCCGACCCTTTTTAGCTTCTCCAAGAAGCTTGACCCTTTTTTAGCTTCTCCAAGAAGCTTGATCCTTTTTTAGCTTCTCCAAGAAGCTTGAACCCTTTTTAGCTTCTCCAAGAAGCTTGATCCTTTTTTAGCTTCTCCAAGAAGCTTGAACCTTTTTTAGCTTCTCCAAGAAGCTTGATCCTTTTTTAACTTCTTGAAGAAGCTTGAACCTCTTGACCCCTTTGCCTAGCTTCTCTAAGAAGCTTGGCCCTTTTGCTCCAAGCTTCTAAGAGAAGCTTAGCCCTTTTGCTCAAAGCTTATAAGAGAAGCTTTGCCCCCTTGGTTTCTCTATAAAAAGAGGGCCTCTCCTCCCCTTTAGAGGGTTAGAAAAAATCTGATATATAGGATATATATCACTCCCTCTCTATATCTCCCTCTCTCTCTACATTTGTGTGGGTTAGAGGGCTCAAAAGGGTCTAGTTCTTGCACATTTACACTACAACTCTTGGCCTAACACCTCCATCATCAACCTAAGGAGCTTGTAGGCCATTTTCAGAGGCTAAGGGACTATTTTTTGGACCAAGAGGCTGCTGTCCCCTTTTGGCTACAAAGGTAACTCATTTTCCCTCTTTTTTTTCCGTTTTTGCACACACTTTTAGCCTATCTTTCTTGCTGTTTTGAGCTTTGTGTATAACATAAAAAAGTTCTATTTTTTTTGTGTTTAAGATGCTTCATTAAGGTCACTTTTGTGTTTGGGGTCGTTTACCCCCTCTTAGGCCTTGCTTGGCCTCACTTTTGTGTGTTTTTGGTGAGCTTCGGGACCACCTTGTTTGGGCCTCCTCACCACTGAAATCTTGAAGGATTTCAGTGGTGAGGATAGTGGTTTGAGGTCCTAAGAAGGAGAGGGCCATCCCCTCTCCTTATTGTCTTGATTACTTGCATTTTTGGCCTTACAAAGGAGCTCCTATTTGCAAGCTTTCAAGCTTTATTTCCAGCATTTTTCAGTGGGTTTTAGGACCGCCATAAGTCATTTCCAGATCTGGTTTTTCCATGTTAAGTGTCCTTGTTGCATGTGTAGAGTAACCCTCTTATTGGCCTTTCAAAGGAACACATCTTTCTTGCATGCATGGACCTTGTTTCCATGGGTTTTTGGGGCTTATTTGACATACCATGTTACTAGTTTTATCTGGTTTGATGAGCTCTCACATGCTTCATATAAGTGTAGTGTAAACCATGCTTACTAGCCTATGTTGCATGTTGTTTTGGCCAAGCATGCTAGCTTATTTTGGCTACATTTCATACATGTTTTAGCATTATTTTGGGCTGCATAGGGACTGTTTGGGGCTGGTTTCATCATTCGAGCATCGCTTTGCATGTTTATAGTGTATTGCATTTCACTAGCATTAGTGCTTGAGTCCTTAACAATGCATTACATCAGTGTTTGCATGTTTTTGACTCATTTTGACATTTGGAGTCACGTCTAGAAACTGAATAACAGGAAAATATATCCCTATTCTGCATGTTGGGATAGGCTTGCCCAAACCAACCAACCCAACACAAACTTTTGGTAGGCCAAATCCAATAATTGTTTGAGAGCTATCCATGTTAGTTTAAGTCCATCATCGCATGTTGTTGCATGCCATATTTGTTTACATGTTTAGGTTGTGTGCCTATTGCATATTAAATGCATTGCATAATCATGTTGCATTAGCCTTGCTTGCATGCTTAGGTTGCATTGCATTGTGCATGCATCCCTTGCCTCTTGATTAAGCATGATAGAGGTTGGGGCCTTTGATGTGTTTTGTGTGTGCATTTCATTTGATATTGAAGTTGCACACTTGGCTTTTGGGCCATCACGCATTGAAATGCGCGATTGGTGGTCCGAGAATCGAGCACCATACCCCTTTGAGTCACAAACATGATAAGGGATGTGGTGGTGCACACATTTGCTGGAAATGCATTGCCATGCCATGTTTTTCCCTCTACTGTTGTCAAAACAGGTTCTGCAGGAAGCTTTGGCCGGCCGGCCATCTATACTGCCAACCGGCCATCCATTGTTGGCCGATGGCTTTACAGATGGTCGATGACCATCCGGACAAGGCCGGTGGTGTTCTGTCTTAGCCGGTGGTGTTCCACAGTGTCCATAGAGTGCTCCCTGGGACTTGTGCAATTTTTAGAGGAGCAGAGCAGGGAAAATAGAGGCGGACTTGTGCATGGCGTTGGATTTCCGAGTAAACCCGAGCACGCGCGCATTGGATCCTCTTCCCGAGGCCTTTACTGCTTTCCATAGTTTAGTTAATTTGTTAATTAATTAAGTGGTCTGTAATAATTAATTTGTATATTCTTTTGGTCCCTCCAAGCGAGGGCGAATTTGTAATAAGCGTGGGTGCGTGTGTGCATGTCTTCCAATCCCCACTTCTTTCTCCCTTTTACTTACCTGCTTTTGATGGTTAGTATTAGGGCATATTTAAATTAGCATACCTTATGCTATGCATGCGTGCATCCATACATTTGTCTTGCATGCACCGGGCTCGGCGCATTATACTAACTGCATTGTATTTCAATTTCAAGTTGAATACGTGTTAGTTGTTGCATTTCACATGCCATCTATAGATTAGTCGAGCCTATTCTAGCCGCATCCTGCATGTGTTGCATTAGCCATCTTAACATGAACTAGGATCATGCACATGATTACTAACTGGTTTCTGTTTTGGCTTGGAGTACTAAGTAAGCTTTTATGCTTTAGCATGCCACATGTGTGTGAATGTTGCCATGATAGCATAATTACCATGAGGCTAGCTGCTTATGTGATATAACTGCCTGAATGCCTGTGGATGGAGGTTGAATTACCTAAATTGGAATAATGCACTAAAACTGTGAGTTGTAAGCCCACTAGATAGTGGCAAAACCATCTTTTCTAAAGCCCACTTGAGGGTGACAAAATCTGCATTTTAGCCTCCTCGCAAGTAGCAAATCATTTTCAAAACAAACATGAAATGTTTTGTTCCAATTTAGGCGATTTGGTCTATACTTGTTCGTTGTGCGCATAACATAGTAATTCTAGGCTAATAACCGGAATAGGAACACATAATGCTTTCAAAAAAAGATATCACGGTTAGTAGAGGCCGATCTTTGATCGGGCGAGAGGGGGTGCTCATAGCTGACCTTCCCCAATCGTACCCAAGTTCCCGAGCCGAGGCAACTTTGGTGATGACGGACACGTGGCCTTTGGCACCAAGTCAGGGTTTCCTAAATTTCCCAAAATAAAATATTTAGGTGGCGACTCTGTATCTGGAAAAGCAGTCCATGTTTGGCACTTCTTCTCTAAAAATCGGTTTTCCAAAACGATTTGCCAGATTTGGACTCTTTGGTTCAAATTTAGGACCGCGACAATTTGAGAGTCCTGAACTGTAGTGAACCCAATATGAACAGAACGGGACTCATCCTCCTGGGGCGTTCGGGGACGTCTACACATCCCCAAACCCATTTCGTTATCATGTAACATATGCTATCGATAGATATAGATATCAAGAGTGGGTTATCCAAATAGGTTTTGGATAAGCTTCATAAGGGTCAAAGGTCTTGCCACATGAGTGCCCAATTTCAAATAAAGATAAATAATACTTCACAGTACGATTCATAATTTTATAGTTGTGGTTGTAATTTGAACCTGAATTGGACCATTAAAATATATAAATAAAACGATATTCATAAGCGCTCTCTCTACTGCTGCATGCTTTGCCCTAAGCCTGGCCTCCATAGAAGTCTTCGGTTTCGATGGATCCTTTTTTTTCTGGTAGAAATTAAATGAGACAAAGAGTGGAGAGAGAGAGAGAGAAGAAGCAGAAGGGGGGAGAGAGAAATATAGAGAAAATTACTAAATTTACTTTTGCAACTGAAGATGCTGCTCTTCCTCCAATAGCCTCATGGCCTCAGTTGTGAACGCCAAAAACGGAGACATTGGTTGCTGATCCTTTTCTTTCTTGCTCTTTCTCCACTGATCTTTGAGCCATATGATTTGAGGGAAACCTTTCTTCTTCTTGTCTTTATTTTCTAGCACTTTCTCTCTGTTCTGTTTTCAAGAAAATGTAGGAAAATTTTTGAGGGAAAACTAAACCAAGAATCATCAACTCTAAACCATTAATCTGGGTTCAGTTTTTGAGAAAAATGTAGGAAAATTACCCTTCCTAAAGCTCTTTCATTTTCCCTGTATTTTCTCAGCAAAGATAAATATGCCCAATTTCTAACAAAGATAAATAATACTTCACAGTGCGATTCGTAATTTTATATTTGTGGTTCTAATTTGAACCTGAATTGCACCATTAAAATATATAAATAAAATGATATTCATAAGTGCTCTCTCTACTGCTGCATGCTTTGCCTGGAGCTTGGCCTCCATAGATGTCTTTTCCTCCATAGTTGTCTTCGGTTTCGATGGATCCTTTTTTTTCTGGTCGAAATAAATTGAGACAAAGATTAGAGAGAGAGAAGAAGAAGAAGAAGAAGAGGGGGAGAAAGAAATATAGAGAAAATTACTTAATTTACTTTTGCAACTGAAGATGCTACTCTTCCTCCAACAGCCTCACGGCCCTAGTTGTGAACGCCAAAAACGGAGACATTGGTTGCTGATCCTTTTCTTTCTTGCTCTTTCTCCACTGATCTTTGAGCCATATGATTTGAGGGAATCCTTTCTTCTTCTTGTCTTTATTTTCTAGCTCTTTCTCTCTGTTCTATTTTCTAGAAAATGTAGGAAAATTAAGGGGGAAAACTAAACCAAGAATCATAAACTCTAAACCATCAATCTGGGTTCAGTTTCTGAGAAAAATGTAGGAAAATTACCCTTTCTAAAGCTCTTTCATTTTCCCAGTATTTTCTCAGCAAAGATAAATGTGCCCAATTTCTAACAAAGATAAATAATACTTCACAGTGCGATTCATAATTTTATATTTGTGGTTATAATTCAAACCTGAATTGGACCATTAAAATATATAAATAAAACGATATTCATAAGTGCTCTCTCTACTGCTGCATGCTTTGCCCTGAGCCTGGCCTCCATAGATGTCTTTTCCTCCAGAGATGTCTTCGGTTTAGACGGATCCTTTTTTTTCTGCTAGAAATTAAATGAGACAAAGATTAGAGAGAGAGAAAAAGAAGAAGGGGCGAGAGTGAAATATAGAGAAAATTACTGAATTTACTTTTGCAACTGAAGTTGCTGTTCTTCCTCCAACAGCCTCATGGCCTCAGTTGTGAACGCCAAAAACGGAGACATTGGTTGCTGATCCTTTTCTTTCTTGCTCTTTCTCCACAGATCTTTGAGCCATATGACTTGAGAGAAACCTTTCTTCTTCTTGTCTTTCTTTTCTAGCTCTTTCTCTCTGTTCTGTTTTCAAGAAAATGTAGGAAAATATAGGGGGAAAACTAAATGAAGAATCATCAACTCTAAACCATCAATCAGGGTTAAGCTTCTGAGAAAATGAAGGAAAATTACCCTTTCTAAAGCTCCTTCATTTTCCCAACATTTTCTCAACAAATATAAGTAAGCCCAATTTCTAACAAAGATAAATAATACTTCACAGTACGATTCGTAATTTTATAGTTGTGGTTCTAATTTGAACCTGAATTGGACCATTAAAATATATAAATAAAATGATATTCATAATAGTTCCTTTTAAAATAAAAAATTCACAATAAATTATATCAATCTATACAAAAATTTTGTAATAATTGTTATTTGTGTATTGCTCATATGCGTGTATATATATGGAGCATGCGAATTAAAAGGAGAAAAATAAATAAACTATGATTTTGAGAGGAAAAAGCAATTAAAAATTGATACAGCAAAGTGAGAATTGAAATTGATCCAACAAAATGACAGAGTAATGAATCACAACACGTGCTACTGTGAGGAATTCCGAGCAGCATCCCCGAACCCATTTCGTGATAATGTATCATATCCTATCAATAGATATAGATATCAAGAATGGGTTATCCAAATAGGTTTTGAATTCAAATTCAAAACTTACATAGATAAGGTTCAAAAGGGTCAAAGGTCATGCCACATTGGTGCCCAATTTCAAACAAAGATAAATAATACTTCACAGTACAATTCATAATTTTATAGTCGTGGTTCCAATTTGAACCTGAATTGGGCCATTAAAATATATAGATAAAACGGTATTCATAAGTGCTCTCTCTACTACAGCATGCTTTGCCCTGAGCCTGGCCTCCATAGATGTCTTCTCCTCCATAGTTCTCTTCGGTTTCAATGGATCCTTTTTTTTCTGGTTGAAATAAATTGAGACAAAGATTAGAGAGAGAGAAGAAGAAGAAGGGGGAGAGAGAAATATAGAGAAAATTACTGAATTTACTTTTGCAGCTGAAGCTGCTGCTCTTCCTCCAACAGCCTCACGGCCTCAATTGTGAACGCCAAAAACGGAGACATTGGTTGCTGATCCTTTTCTTTCTTGCTCTTTCTCCACTGATCTTTGAGCCATATGATTTGATGGAAACCTTTCTTCTTCTTGTCTTTGTTTTCTAGCTCTTTCTCTCTGTTCTGTTTTCAAGAAAATGTAGGAAAATTTAGGGGGAAAACTAAACCGAGAATCATCAACTCTAAACCATCTATCAAGGTTCAGTTTCTGAGAAAAATGTAGGAAAATTACCCTTTCTAAAGCTCTTTCATTTTCCCTGTATTTTCTCAGCAAAGATAAATATGCCCAATTTCTAACAAAGATAAATAATACTTCACAGTTCGATTCCTAATTTTATATTTGTGGTTCTAATTCGAACATGAATTGGACCATTAAAATATATAAATAAAACGATATTCATAAGTGCTCTCTCTACTGCTGCATGCTTTGCCCTGTGCCTGGCCTCCATAGATGTCTTCTCCTCCATAGATGTCTTCGGTTTCGATGGATCCTTTTTTTTTCTGGTAGAAATTAAATTAGACAAAGATTAGAGAGAGAGAAAAAGAAGAAGGGGGGAGAGAGAAATATAGAGAAAATTTCTAAATTTACTTTTGCAACTGAAGATGCTGCTCTTCCTCCAACAGCCTCAAGGCCTCAGTTGTGAACGCCAAAAACGGAGACATTGGTTGCTGATCCTTTTCTTTCTTGCTCTTTCTCCACTGATCTTTGAGCCATATGATTTAAGGGAAACCTTTCTTCTTCTTGTCTTTCTTTTCTAGCTCTTTCTCTCTGTTCTGTTTTCAAGAAAATGTTGGAAAATTTAGGGGGAAAACTAAACCAAGAATCATCAACTCTAAACCATCGATCAGGGTTAAGCTTCTAAGAAAATGAAGGAAAATTACCCTTTCTAAAGCTCCTTCATTTTCCATACATTTTCTCAACAAATATAAATAAGCCCAATTTCTGACAAAGATAAATAATACTTCACAGTACGATTCGTAATTTTATTGTTGTGGTTCTAATTTGAACCTGAATTGGACCATTAAAATATATAAATAAAATGATATTCATAAGTGTTCCTTTTAAAATAAAAAATTCACAATAAATTATATCAATCTATATAAAAATTTTATAATAATTTGTATTTGATTGTTGCTCATATGCGTGTATATATATGAAGCATGGGAATTAAAAGGAGAGAAAGAAATAAACTATGATTTTGAGGGAAAAAAGCAATTAAAAATTGAAACAGCAAGGTGAGAATTGAAATTGATCCAACAAAACGACACAGTATTGAATCACAACAGGTGCTACTGTGAGGAATTCAGAGCAGCATCCCCGAACCCATTTCGTGATAATGTAGCATATCCTATCGATAGATATAGATATCAAGAATGGGTTATCCAAATTGGTTTTGAATTCAAATTCAAAACTTACATAGATAAGGTTCAAAAGGGTCAAAGGTCATGCCACATTGGTGCCCAATTTCTAACAAAGATAAATAATAATTCACAGTACGATTCATAATTTTATAGTTGTGGTTCTAATTTGAACCTGAATTGGGCCATTAAAATATATAAATAAAACGGTATTCATAAGTGCTCTCTCTACTGCAGCATGCTTTGCCCTGAGCCTGGCCTCCATAGATGTCTTCTCCTCCATAGTTGTCTTCGGTTTCGATGGATCCTTTTTTTTCCTGGTCGAAATAAATTGAGACAAATATTAGAGAGAGAGAAGAAGAAGAAGGGGGCGAGAGAAATATAGAGAAAATTACTGAATTTACTTTTGCAACTGAAGATGTTGCTCTTCCTCCAACAGCCTCACGGCTTCAGTTGTGAACGCCAAAAACAGAGACATTGGTTGCTGATCCTTTTCTTTCTTGCTCTTTCTCCACTGATCTTTGAGCCATATGATTTGAGGGAAACCTTTCTTCTTCTTGTCTTTGTTTTCTAGCTCTTTCTCTCAGTTTTGTTTTCAAGAAAATGTAGGAAAATTTTGGGGGAAAACTAAACCAAGAATCATCAACTCTAAACCGTCAATCTGGGTTCAGTTTTTGAGAAAAATGTAGGAAAATTACCCTTTCTAAAGCTCTTTCATTTTTTCTGTATTTTCTCAGCAAAGATAAATATGCCCAATTTTTAACAAAGATAAATAATACTTCACAGTGCGATTCGCAATTTTATATTTGTGGTTCTAATTTGAACCTAAATTGGACCATTGAAATATATAAATAAAACGACATTCATAAGTGCTCTCTCTACTGCTGCATGCTTTGCCCTGAGCCTGGCCTCCATAGATGTCTTCTCCTCCATAGATGTCTTCGGTTTCGATGGATCCTTTTTTTTCTGGTAGAAATTAAATGAGACAAAGATTAGAGAGAGAGGAGAAGAAGAAGGTGGGAGAGAGAAATATAGAGAAAATTATTGAATTTACTTTTGCAACTGAAGATGCTGCTCTTCCTCCAACAGCCTCATGGCCTCAGTTGCGAACGCCAAAAACGGAGACATTGGTTGCTGATCCTTTTCTTTCTTGCTCTTGCTCCACTGATCTTTGAGCCATATGATTTGAGTGAAACCTTTCTTCTTCTTGTCTTTCTTTTCTAGCTCTTTCTCTCTATTCTGCTTTCAAGAAAATGTAGGAAAATTTAGGGGGAAAACTAAACCGATAATCATCAACTCTAAACCATCAATCAGGGTTAAGCTTCTGAGAAAATGAAGGAAAATTACCCTTTCTAAAGCTCCTTCATTTTCTCTACATTTTCTCAACAAATATAAATATGCCCAATTTCTAACAAAGATAAATAATACTTCACAGTACGATTCGTAATTTTATAGTTGTGGTTCTAGTTTGAACCTGAATTGGACCATTAAAATATATAAATAAAATGATATTCATAAGTGCTCCTTTTAAAATAAAAAATTCACAATAAATTATATCAATCTATATAAAAATTTTATAGTAATTTTTATTTGAGTATTGCTCATATGCGTGTATATATAAGGAGCATGCGAATTAAAAGGAGAAAAAGAAATAAACTATGATTTTGAGAGAAAAAAGCAATTAAAAATTGAAACAGCAAAGTGAGAATTCAAATTGATCCAACAAAACGACACAGTATTGAATCACAACAGGTGCTACTGTGAGGAATTCAGAGCAGCATCCCCGAACCCATTTCATGATAATGTAGCATATCCTATCGATAGATATAGATATCAAGAATGGGTTATCGAAATAGGTTTTGAATTCAAATTCAAAACTTACGTAGATAAGGTTCAAAAAGGTCAAAGGTCATGCCGCATTGGTGCCCAATTTCTAACAAAGATAAATAATAATTCACAATACGATTCATAATTTTATAGTTGTGGTTCTAATTTGAACCTGAATTGGGCCATTAAAATCTATATAATAAGGTAAGAAGGTTTTTGAAAGCGTATAAAATGTGTGTGAGATACATTTGATATTAACGGTTGAGGTGAATCTTAAGTTTTTATCGACGGTTGAGATTGGTTGAAATGAATGATGATTGTCGCCTAAATATACCCACGCCTGATCTCATCCTCCCCACCTGCCCTCTCTCTCTCTCTCTGTTCTTCTCTTCTTCGACAGAAGAAAAAAAAACCCCACCCTCTTCGCTACCGACGCTCCTCCTTCCCACCCTCTTCGCTACCGACGCTCCTCCTCCTCCTCATTCGTCACGCTCCTCTTCATCGCAAGGTAAGATTCCCTTACAACCCTTTTCGATTTCAATATAGTTTTGTGGCTTTGATCATATATCCCAAAGAGTTGGGGCTTTGATCATAAAACAGATTACTCATTTTTGTTTTGATTTTTGTTTTTCTAAACCTTAAATTGATTTGTTAATTAAGGTTTTTTAGGTATTTGGATTGCTCTAAATCAAGTTTGTAAGATTTGGTTTAGTAATATGTGTTTGTTTCCCTTTCTTTTTCCCCTTTATTGGTTTATTTCCTCCTTCTCGATTAAAGCCATTGTTGAGAGCAACTGCCTAATTATTGCAGTTATTGCATTTTTTTGTTGGAACTTTTGTGTTTTTTTCCCCACTTCAGTGTTTTGGTAGGGTTTTCAATTGATCCGATTGAGAACTGCGAAACTGTGCTTCGATTGGCTCACCAAGTTCGCTCCTCTGTTTGCCCTACTTCGTGAATAGAATAAATGAATAACTCAACATGATGATGAAATTGATATTCAATTCAACTTTATTATGTTCTTGAGTCAACTTTATCATAATAAACGAATCTTAATTTTTAAACTTTCCTAATTGTTTTTAATTCTTTCAAACTAATATAATAATGCCTCCTTTTTTGATACAGGCTGCATCTGGTAGACGAACTTGCCAACTTCTAGATAGTCAGATGGCCTATAAGAGTTGACTGACTTGCTTTATGTTATTCATTTACAATACATGGTAACTTTGTAAGGTTATTTTTAATTTTACTATTATTATTTTTATTTTTATTTTTAAATTTGATGGAGTATGACATACTGTGCTATTCAAGTTCGATTTCTGCATCTTGATTTCTGGTTTGTATCTCTCTATTGGGTTCGATTTTTGTTTCATGCATGGCTGATTTCACCTCATCAGGACAATTTACTTTTGTATATTATTTTGGCCTTTTTAAAAATAATAATAATAATAATAGAGATTGGCCCTAACTATGCTTTGCCAAATCTTTACAATTTACTCATGATTGTCCATACTGTCCTATGCATCTCTCACTCATGCTTATGTATGCCTTTAAATGTTTAGGTGTTCATGTTTTCTGTCATATTACATGCTCTTTTGCAATGCACTTGCAGACTGAATGTATGCATATTTATTTCCAATCAATTTTTTATTTTTGTGTCATTGCTGCAGTCTTTTAATTTAATCTATAGCACCATGTATGTGCCTATTTATTTGAAATCTGATCTTCTATTGAAACCTTTGGTTTATGTTTGGATTTGGTCATACCAGATTTTGCCACAGTTGCTTTATTACTTTGGTGTGAAAAATGGTGTGGATTCTCTTGATTGGGCAACTATTGTTGTCTATACATGTGAAATGTTATATACATGTATAATCATTACTCATCCTTCAAAAATTCTTAAATGGGTTTCATTTTAAAAAATTATTGATTGATCATTTTTCCAACTCAAAAACAATGTTATAAAGGAAATTGGAAAAAGCAAAAATAGGCAAAAATGATCTCTCTTTATAAGACCTATGTTATCCTTCCTCTCAAGTGGTGTCTACACCTGCATTTTAGTTGATGGGAAATAGGTATTGAATCGCTAATATAGATTACAAGCTTCCTTAATTTCCTAATAATCATGCAAATTTTGTTTAGGCACGTAATGGCACCTAAATTGTTATCTTTCTCTAAGCACACTAAACATCAGTGGACTAGCTTTAAAGTGTTCCATCGATGGTATAAAATATGTAGATCTGTACATAAATATTTCTGTGCATCAGCATCACTATGTGTGTGCTGTATGCCACATAAAATTTGTTTGCGTCACGTATATATCTACCTTTGCATGTCTATAGTTTATGTTTCAGGTGTGTAAGGTGTTGGACTTGGAACATTTCTAATTTAATAACTAGCCAATTCACATCTTGGAATATCATTCATCGTTATTATTATTTTTTTCCCTCTGATACATTTACCTGTGGCAAATTTACCTCTGAGCTATAATATTATTGATCTGGTTGGTTAATTCAATTCTTTCTTTAAATATAACAGGTATTGTAGGTATGAAAGTGCTAAACCCTTATGGCCCATGTTCAATTCTTTCATAAAACTAATTAGGATACAAGTCTGTAAATATGTATTTACTGTTAAATTCCCTTTAAAAGAATAAAAGCAGAGCTTACTGCTAATACATTGGAGAAGCTGTTCCTTAACTCCCATGAAGAAGGTTTTGATTGGGTGAATGTTTTGATTGGATATCCTTATCTCTGTTTTCTTTTTTGTCTTTTTTCTTTTCGTAGTTTTTTTTTTTTTTTTGGGTGGTGGCAAAATAAGACAAACTCATAGTCAGTGGCACACTTGGCTAAAATTGAAGAACAATTAAGTTATTGTTAACTGTAGGACTTGAATCAATTTCATGGAATGTGGATTGTTGTGGTGTTTAGAGTGAGAACATGATTTGGTGTTATGTGTACTCAAGAAATGGATGGTGGATCATATGCTCATTTCAGTTACTCAGTTGGAGTATAGTAATTAATTTTGAATAAATTTGCCAAATTAATTAGTTTTAAATTTTGGTGATGTTGATGCTGTGTGCTACTGCTGTGTGCTTGCTGTTGTGTGCCTAGATTGCTGCTTATTAAAAAACATCTCATCTGGTGTGTTGGTGGAGAGATTATTGTATGTGATATTCCAATTGAAGACTACAACATAGAACTGGAAAATCAGAGTGGAGAAACAGTACAATTGGGATCTGAGACTGATCAGCGGTATGGTGTATAAATGAATCTTTTATATGTTTTATTACTAAAATACTTTTTTAGGTACGTGATCAGTTCTCTTTCTAAAGTCTTTAAACCACATTTCTTTCTAACGGAAACAAATTTTGATGGTAATTTGATAGGGCTGTGATGATGGGTTTAATGCTTCATGCAAATGCTAAACAGTTGATTAGAATGGAAAGATATAAAGATGCATTGGAAGTGCTTCCCATGGGAGAGGTTAGCATCTGGTGGACTACATGCCAAAACAAAAAGAGTAGGTTTTTGTGATATAATTGTGCGTGGATAAACACTCAATTTAATTTATGGCCTTCCATTTTTAGCTTGGGTTTTATATACCAAATTCAAGAACTACTCCAAATGATGGCCTAGAGGAGGGGTAACGTAGGGTGTTAGCCTGAGCTGCTTTCTTCATAAATTTTCCTGCAATAAGATGTCGATGGTCATCAATTTTTTTGATGTAGCTCTTCCTTGCTTGAGCACCCTTTGTTCTTCATCTTCCTGGAAATGTATATGTATTAATAATCAAGCTGACAAGAATTGAATTTTGCTGGTTTGCAAAAGATCTGGCTGCAGAAGCCCTTTGTAGAAATGAGAATGACACTTAGAAGGCTTTGGATGATTTGACAAATTCAGAATCTAATTCTGCCATACAGGTAAGTTATCATTACTTGAATATTTTCTTTGGTTGAGTAATCTCACATTTCTAGGTGTTTTTCCAAAAATGAAAAACATATGACAGAAAATGAAAGCATTCGAGTATTCATATGTATATATAATCATAAATATTAAAATGATGGCCATTTTTAGAATTTTTCATTGTCTTTGCTTTTCAAAAAAAACTAAAAACAGAAACACAACTAAACGGCTAGGAAAATTATTTGTTCTATGTCACATATTGGGGTCATATACTATCCCAGAAAAATATATAGCAAAGAAGAAAATATATACATTTTTCCCAGATCTCATGTCAATTTTATCTTTAAATAGTGTTGGGAATAAATTTAAATTTAAATAGTGTTGGGAATAAATTTAAATAGAAATAGTGTTGGAATTAAATTTAAATTTAAACAGTGTTGGGATTAAATTTAAATAGTGTTGGGAATAAATTTAAATTTAAATAGTGTTGGGATTAAAATTAAATTTAAATAGTGTTGGAATTAAATTTAAATTTAAACAGTGTTGGGATTAAATTTAAATAGTGTTGGGAATAAATTTAAATTTAAATAGTGTTGGGATTAAAATTAAATTTAAATAGTGTTGGAATTAAATTTAAATTTAAAACCGACCTGATCAGCAGAATACGATGGAGGTGGTTTCGACCACTCGGTTGTGGTTGAGATTGATGAATTTAATTCTTATCTCGGATAGATATTGAATTTAATATATAAAAAACCATATAATCGACTCAATCAACTTATTCATATGCGTACAACTTGAAACATGTGTGTTTATTTTCTAAATTAATAACTTGAATTCAGCTTTAAACAATTGTCACTAAAGAGCTTTAAACAATTGTCGTAGAGTATAGTCTGTTAAATATATTTTTAAAACTGCATTTTAATCTTAATATTACTTACAACGTGCCTTTAGGCACGGGCATACGCTAGTATATAAATAAAACGGTATTCATAAGTGCTCTCTCTACTGCAACATGCTTTGCCCTAAGCCTGGCCTCCATAGATGTCTTCTCCTCCATAGTTGTCTTCGGTTTCGATGGATCCTTTTTTTTCCTGGTCGAAATAAATTGAGACAAAGATTAGAGAGAGAGAAGAAGAAGAAGGGGGGAGAGAGAAATATAGAGAAAATTACTGAATTTAAATTTGCAACTGAAGATGCTGCTCTTCCTCCAACAGCCTCACGGCTTCAGTTGTGAACGCCAAAAACGGAGACATTGGTTGCTGATCCTTTTCTTTCTTGCTCTTTCTCCACTGATCTTTGAGCCATATGATTTGAGGGAATCCTTTCTTCTTCTTGTCTTTGTTTTCTAGCTCTTTCTCTCTGTTCTGTTTTCAAGAAAATGTAGGAAAATTTTGGGGGAAAACTAAACCAAGAATCATCAACTCTAAACCATCAATCTGGGTTCAATTTCTGAGAAAAATGTAGGAAAATTACCCTTTCTAAAGCTCTTTCATTTTCCCTGTATTTTCTCAGCAAAGATAAATATGCCCGATTTCTAACAAAGATAAATAATACTTCACAGTGCGATTCGTAATTTTATATTTGTGGTTCTAATTTGAACCTGAATTGGACCATTAAAATATATAAATAAAATGATATTCATAAGTGATCTGTTTTAAAATAAAAAATTCATAATAAATTATATCAATCTATATAAAAATTTTATAATAATTTTTATTTGAGTATTGCTCATATGTGTGTATATATATGGAGCATGGGAATTAAAAGGAGAAAAAGAAATAAACTATGATTTTGAGAGAAAAAAGCAATTAAAAATTGAAACAGCAAGGTGAGAATTGAAATTGATCCAACAAAACGACACAGTATTGAATCACAACAGGTGCTACTGTGAGGAATTCAGAGCAGCATCCTCGAACCCATTCCTTGATAATGTAGCATATCCTTTTGAAAGATATAGATATCAAGAATGGGTTATCCAAATAGGTTTTGAATTCAAATTCAAAACTTACATAGATAAGGTTCAAAAGGGTCAAAGCTCATGCCACATTGGTGCCCAATTTCTAACAAAGATAAATAATAATTCACAGTACGATTCAAAATTTTGTAGTTGTGGTTCTAATTTGAACCTGAATTGGGCCATTAAAATATATAAATAAAACGGTATTCATAAGTGCTCTCTCTACTGCAGCATGCTTTGCCCTGAGCCTGGCCTCCATAGATGTCTTCTCCTCCATAGTTGTCTTCGGTTTCGATGGATCCTTTTTTATCCTGGTCGAAATAAATTGAGACAAAGATTAGAGAGAGAAAAGAAGAAGAACGGGGGAGAGAGAAATATAGAGAAAATTACTGAATTTACTTTTGCAACTGAAGATGCTGCTCTTCCTTCAACAGCCTCACGGCTTCAGTTGTCAATGCCA